CATCTCCTGGCTGGAAGGGCCTCAGGAGAAGCCTGGCTTCCTCCAAGGGGCTCTTGCAGAGAGGTCTGTACACACATGGGCCCCCCCGAGGCAAAAAGGATCCCTCATCCCCCCACAACTCCCAGTACCTTTCCCCATACTATTCTAGGGTGGACCATGCTGACCTGAAGTGTGCCCCCTTAATATCTACAAATAAATAGTATTAATTTCTTGAGGTCAAGGAACATATCTTTGCACCAGATATATACTGAATGACCAACAGAGCAAAGAAATGTCTCTTGTCTTTCATTTGTCAACACAGAATTTAGAACCGTGCCTGAATGGTACTGTCAAAATGAAGCAAGGTCAACAAATGTAAACATGAAACAAAAAAAGATGACGATTTTAATAGGAATAAATATAAAACCCCACAGTATGGGTTACTGGAATCCATAGTGCCCTTGCAGGATCCATGAGAGAAAGTCTCATCATTCAACACTGAGTGCCACTTATGTTCTAGCCACAGTTGCAGGTGCTATGTAGACACCAGCGAAAACACAATGTGCCTGATGTCATAGAACTTAAATTTTACAACAAAGAAAGATCTATGAGTTCTAATTGATCACAAGCTTAATGGGAGTCATCAGGTAATATGGCAACAACAGCAGGTAAACAAAATCTAACCTGATTTTACCTCAACCGAGAGCGGTTCAGTGCCCACATCTTACTATGCCTCCTGTGGCCTCTGCTGCTCAGCCAGGATCAGAGCTTGGAGTTAAACAGAGGTCCCTCAGGTCAAGACAGACTTCGGCCAACAGTGTATTTGAAGGAATATGGGGAAGCCCACAGCGGTCTGAGAATGAGTGACGAAATTGCATGTGTATAGCCTGGAGGACAATGGTTAGAGGCAATGCAGCAGCCAAACACTGAAAGAGCTGTCTGTGCAGGACTTGACCTCAAGGGTCCAGAGTTCACCAGGTAGAAATTACAAGGGAGCAGGAGTTAGTATTGAGGAGTATGGTGGTGATAGTTCCTACCTCATCTGGCTGTGAGGACTAAGCTATGTTTGACCTGAAGGACTGCTGAGTCCAGCTTCCCACCCTTGGGAAGTCATCAGAAATAATGTTAACTATTGGTAATAAGTGCAATTCATTTTATTCAACTATCTTTCCTTTTTTTTTTAAGTTTTATTTATTTATTTTTACAAGCACTGGGTACAGTCAGAAGCGCGGGAGGGTGAGAGAATTCACCAGAGCCAGAGTGGGGAACAGAACAGGCAGACTGATGAAATTCACTGCTGAAGGGAGCAGTGGGCGGCAGAAGAGGTCTGCATGCCATGTGGGACCCCCACCCGGTGGCCAGGGCTCGAACCAGCACTGCAGAGGCTGCGGGCAGCTTTGCAACCCAGCACTCAACCGCAGCGCCACCGGGGAGGCCCTATCTTTCCATTTTTTTAGGTAAATCTGTTGTTGTCTTTAATTCTGTGATCTTGCATTTTCTAAAGCAATTATTTTATCAATTTGAAACTATAAAGTAGCACTTTAGAAAAATGCTTTTATCTAAGGAGATGTTTTACTTTCTAGAGAAATTAGAAAAAACTCAATGGTACAGAGATATTTAAGGATATGATTTAAGGAACATGACTGAATTGAGCTAAACTGGGGGGTTATTAATGTATGGGATGACTGAGCAAGGCTGGGCTTGGCAAACTCCCAAACTCCATTCTCCTTAGGACACCCCCTACCAGACAACAGAAGTGAAAAATCAATCCAACAAACTGATTTATGAACACTAAATCATGCCAGACAAGTTTAATTTCCTCCTGTGACAGAGAGACAGGGACAAAGGGAAGCAATGGATATCAGATAATGCAGCTTACAGAAGAGAATCTGAAAACTTAATTGAATTCTACTGATTACTGGAGATGATCTCCAACAACAGGAACCAGAGGCTCAGAATCACTGTTTGAGTAAGAAGGAAGCAAGAAACTTTTCCTTGTGGGACTGGCAAAAAAAACCACCCCCACTGAACTAAGAAAAACTGAAGTGAGATTTACCAGCAGATTTGCTTAAGTGAGGTTGTCAGTGGACACAATTGTGGAGTTGGGGAGGGGGCTTTGGAAGAAATGGGATCTTGAGCCACAACAGATGTTTCATAGTATAGTGTGAAGTTGGGGGACTTCTTAAAGAAAGGTCACGGGACCAGAAAGGCACTTGGAAGAATCTAAGTTAAATTGATTTAAATGGTAAAACTTCAGTTGAAAAGACTTCACGGAAAAGAACAGGGGGATCCAGCGTAGGCAGAGCTGATGGGAATGAAGGGTGGTTTCACCAGAGTGTCTATTCATCCAGAAAACCTTCATCATATCCCAGCTGTGGTCCCACAGGTCTCCACAGTGTGTTAAGCACAGATGTTATCCAGATAATTATTCTACTCCCTGCACTCCCAGCTCCTGAGATTGGAGTGGCCGTAACAGAAGTAGCTTCAATGTGACATGAAAGTAGAGTGACCAGGGGCTCAAAAAAAGAAAGGACTCTTGAGGACTGAGGGAACCAGGGGTAAAGATGACTGTGAAGTGGTGGAGAGAACGCCCAGACCTGGCCCATTTAACTGAATTCCATTTGCCTGGAACACATGACCTTCGGAGACCCTCTCCATCTCGGGGAGTCTAGTCCTGAAGCCCTTGTTGACAGGACTCTCTGAATTCAACTTTTCCTTCTGTCAGAAAATGACTCATATGAACAGGAAAAGCAGCATTCTGAATTCCTATCTCAACATGGTCACTGTGGGCCATTATATGGCCCTGAAGCCTGGGACTGAATTCGTGGGTTTAGCTCTGGTGGTGCTGTACAGGTGGGGTGGGGCGGTAGCAGAGGGAATACAGAGGAAGAAAAAATAAAGAATATTGGCTTATCTCCCCTGGTGGCTGGACCACAAAGTATTTGTCACTTTCTGGGATGACCCCTCTAACTAAAGAGGGGTCTAAACTCATTTCCCAGTCTAAAACTCCACAGGACTCAAGACACTTTTCTAAAGATCCTAGGGCATGCCAGTGTCCTCCAAGGGAAGCCTTGATTCCATTTGCTCTTCAGCAATGTCCTTCCTCCCTAAAGCTGATGGAAAATTCTGGAATTTTCAGAACTCAAAGTGACTTTGCCCACCTGAGTCTTGCCAATTTTAGGGTGCTTTCCTGGCACTGGCACTGGGTCCTTCCTGTGACTCTGTGAATGAGCAGGTCTTCAGAAGCCCCAGCCTGGCAGAATTGACCCATGTTTGGCAGGGTACCACAAGTGAGCATGCTTGTCCCAAACCCCCACCTGTGCAGAGACCAGATCTCATGATGCATGATGGAATATGACTCAGGATGACAGAGTAATGTATGAATAAGCATTGAAAACAAAACTATGTGCATATTTAACCATCCTGTAATAACTCACATCCATAAACAAGCGTGCACGCACGTATGATATACTCCTGGTCACCAAGGCAACCATCCCTGAATCTGTACTTTGTTCTTTTTCATGCAAGAGCTTTTTAACCTTAATCCTTGGAGTGCAGTTCTGGCCTTTGGCTCACTTCTGGCCTTTGGCCTTTGCTGAGAAGTACCACACAGCCCTAGAAAATGTAGCTACATCTAATATTTACCAGGTCTCTTTTGAAGGCTTATGTCTTATCTTCATTCTGACACTAAATTCAGCCAATACATCATTTGGAAACTTGTTGAAAGCATCAGCAACACAAAACAAACATTATGGTTGCTATTGTGAGTCAGAAAAATGAGAGACGAAGTGTTATGCCTTGCACAGTTTTCACTGACAGCACTTTTAAAAAAGGCAATGGCCAATTTTGTTTGAAAAGTGAAGACAGCCTTGGTTCTAAAAAATGGAGAGAATTTATTCTCAAGAATTAAGTGGCAGCTCTTATTTGGGAGGTATGGATTTGGGATTATTGATCTTTTAAGAGTAGTTTACATTTTTCACTTCCTAGTAATAATATTTGGTTTGCTTCAAACTAATCTCATTTTTTATTTTAGATTTCATTCTTCAAAAATGCCAGCAGTTAAAACATTTCTATCCAAACATTAATGTGACTTTGACAATATCCATGTAATAAGCAGTGAGCTTTTCCCCTTTCAACATCACCAACATGTTCATGACAGGTCAACCTGTAGCAACAGTTGGTCTGTTTTAATCTCCACCCTACCCTGATTTAAAAATAATAATAATAATCCTGATCTGTGACTGACCCAGAAAGTTCTTTGCATATCCTCCTGTCAGGTTTCTACCAGAGGGGAGATTACCTAGGTAAGAGTTTTTAGTTTACAGTCATGATCCACTTGCATGCCCTACCTCAAATACCATGGAGTAGGGAGAGAGGTCCTTTGCGTGAAACTGCTTGAATAGCAAGCTTACATGCAGAATCATGAGTGGGGAGGCATTTATTTAGCCCTGACCATGGATTCTGATTTTCCCACCCCGCGAGGCGAGTCCTTCCCAGCAGGAAGAAAGAGGGAAGCGCCAAGAAAGATTCCCCCTGGCAACCTGGGTGAGGTGCTGGGTGTGTGAGTCAGGCCAGGTAGTCAGTGGCTGGAGAAGTGACCCTCCTGGGTAAGCTGGGGCCCCAGGGAAAAATGGACGAACGCCTGGCAGAGGAGAAGCCAGGTGGACCGGGGCGCGTGGGCTGACAATCCGCCGCGTGCGGGGTGCGTCGTCCCCGGCAAAGAGCAGGCACTGGTGGCGGCACGGGAGCCTTGGGTTTCCCCGGCTCAGGGGATTAGCTCAGCCTGCTGTGAGGGTTTCTCTAGACCCCACTCCCGGGGCTGGGGTGCACCAGCATATCTGTCTGTCTGTCTGTCTGTCTGTCTGCAGGCAGATCCGGTCTCTCTCGCTCTCCTCCCTCCCGAATTCTCCGGGGGACTGCGCCCCCCTAGCTCCCCCACCCGCCCTCGGCCCTCCCGCTTCTTCTCCCCCCGGCGCCCCCGGCCTCCGGTGCCCGGGTCTGGGGGAGCCGCGCGCACTCACCCGCGTGCAGGCCGCCCGCCTCGGGGCCGCTGTCCGGGGCGGCGGCGCTGGGCGGCGCGTCCGAGTCGGTGTAGGTGAGCCAGGTGGACTCGGTCTCTCGGGTCCAGCTCTCGTAGTAGCGGGGCTCGATGGCATCGGCCCGGCTTCCGCCGCAGCCCATCCTCCCGCGCTGCGGGTGCGCCCAGCGGTTGCTCGGCTCGCGGCTCCCGCGGCGGCTCAGCCCCGGCGGTGCAGCCCTGGCCGGCGAGGAGGGCACGGCGGAGACATCACCCGTTCCCCGCGCCCGCCAGCCCGCCCCGCCGCTGGGCGCCGAGCTCCCGCAGCACCCGCCGCCGGCTCCCGGGGCCCTCTCCCCGCGCGCCCCTCCTCTCCCCCTCGAGGCCCTCCCCTTCCCCACCTCTGCCTCCCCACCTCCCCCGGCCCTCGCTGCTCCCCACACTCCGCAAGTCCCCCGCAACCTCCCTTCTAGCGCCCCAGCTGGCAGGGGGCGCAGGAGGGCGGCTCCAGAGCGGGAGGAGGGCCGGGGGTCCCCTGAGGGGTTCATCCCACCAGGGCGAGATACTGCTCTCCAGCTCTTGCGCATCCATCCGTCCACACCAACCCCACCCAAAGCCTGCCTGCCTTCCCTTCTTTTTGCTACATTCCATTCATGCACCCTGGAGAGAACCGAAATGCTTAGAGAGGACCCCAAGCTCTCTGGCCACTTGTTTCAAAAGCAACAGAGCTGGGGATGCCCCAGATCCCTGGGGACAAGTGTGACCACTAAGAATGAAGGAGCTGTCGAAGCCCTTACCTGTTTACCAGATCTGGGAAGCAGGGAATAGGGGCTCAGATTTCTGAGAGAGATAGGTCAGACTTTCTCTAACACCATGTTCTAGTCTTTGACTTCATGATCCTCTGGACTTTGTTCTCAAGAAAACCAAAAGAGGACCAGGAACCACCCGCTATCCAGAACCCCCTCTATGGATTGGGCTAGAAGGCATGGCTGGGTTCCCTCCAAGCCCAAGGGGCCTTGACATCCTTGGGGTCCACTGTCTTGTCAGCCTTACATTGCCTAGTGCACACTCAGCTCTGTGTGGGACCTAAAGCTCAAACACCTGGGCCTAAAAATTTGCCTGTTCCAAGGAAGGCAGAACATGTAGTAAAAGAAAGAAACTGCCCTCAAAGAATGGTTTAGAAAATGGGAAGGCTTGGAAGAATAAATCCTCAATGACCAGTCTCTGTCAGAATAGAACATGGTATTGAATAAGTATAGTTTTCGTTCTTTCAACATATACTATTTTGGCTGACATATAACATATGTAATATAATAATATCTGTGTAGTTAATATAGTATATATGTTACCCATTGTATGCAATCTATAGTGTGTACTGTTTAGTGCATCTTATAAGTTATGTAGAGTACAGGTTTCCCTCACTATCCAAAAATAGGGTGCCCCTAATGAATAAATGAAACTTTTCCTAAGCCAAAATTGCAAAACACAAAGATGCAACTATCATTAATTTATGTGGAAGAGCAACAAAAACCTTGCATGTTCCAAATCTAAAATATAACTTACCAAACCATGTCAAAATAATACAGACAGTTCTAATGTAGGCACTTCTGTGTCTTTTTGTGCTGAATATGGTAAAATAGAATTAACTCAATCCATGCCTGCCTCCAGGTCAGTTCTGCTCTGCAAGGGTCATTGTGGACACATGTCCCTGTGGACTCACAAGCCCAAGCCCCATACATACTCTGCCCCTATAAATACCTGCCCTTAATCAGGCCTCTGGCTAAGGAATCTGGGTGATATTGTCCTCAGAGAACTTACTTCCAGTGCAAACCCTGAAGGTAAATTCAGGGCTTTGGGAGCAAGGAATAATAATGCCTCCAGGCATCCATCAGGGAGATTAGAAGGGGTGGGGCTCAGATGCCAGGTGAATGCATCCTTTGGCACCTGGATTTCTTGTCCATAGGGAGGCCCAGGACCAGATAACTGAAACTGGGCCCTCTGGTCACTGATTTGAATAGAATCATGAACATTTCCAGAATGCAGGAGATAGTTGTAAAGTTCTGTCTGATTTAGGTTAAATGTGATTGCTGCTTACACATTTCTGAGCATCTGCCTTTGATATTTAAAGTTTGTCAAGTACAAAGACATGGTCTCATTCAACTTGGAATCCTCAAAGATTCATTCAATGCCTTCATATAGTTAGTGCTCATCAAATATGTGTTTAATGAATGAATGACGAGACAAGGTGGGATGTTGTTAGGATTCTTTGTTGTTAAAACTGAGTTTGGCAGTTGCTCTGCTACTTATCAACTGGATGGCCTGGGCAAGTTAGTTAACTTCCCCTTGCCTTAGTTTCCTCATCTGCAAGTGGGGATAATTAATTGTGCATGTATAGAGTGCTTAAAAGAGTGCTTGGGGCCTCCCCAGTGGCGTGCTGCAGCGGTTGAGCGCTGGGCTGCAAAGCTGCCTGAAGCCTCTGCAGCGCTGGTTTGAGGGGTCCCACGTGGCGCGCAGACCTCTCCTGCTGCACCCACTGCTCCCCTCAGCGTGTGCTTCATTGGTCTGCCTGTTCTGCTCCCCACTCTGGCTCTGATGAATTCTCTCACCCTCCTGTGCTTCTGACTGAACCCAGTGCTTGTATAAATAAATAAATAAACAAACAAATAAAAAATTAAAGAGTGCTTGATGCTTAGAAAGCACTCAATCGGTACTATATACCTCTGTTCTTAAGGCACAACTCTGGAATCTCTCTCCCTGAAGAAGGAAATCTGAAATTACTGTGTTTTCAAATGAGGTAACTGTGAATTTGCTTAGCACATAGCAGAAGTTTGGTACATGGTAGTGTTTTTTTTCTTTTCCCCCCTTCCCTTTCCTTTCCTTATGATATTACTATTAACTATCTCCCTGCAACTAAACTTCCTTACCAACTAGGAAATCCTAGCTCAGAGAGGTTTGAGGAGTCAGCCAAAGTCACGGAATGAAGTGTTATATGCAGAGCAGCAACCAACTTGAGACCTCTGACTGTTCTGAGCTCTTTCAATTACAATTCTCTAGTTGGTGTTGAATTTTCTCCTAAAATTTTGGGAATAAATGTAATAAATTAAATGTAAATATGCAAAATGTATTAAATGATCTTAAACCATCTGTTCAGAATCTATAACTTAACTAATATCTTTTCCCATCAAGTTTAAAAGCAGCAACAAAAAGTAATTATTCTCAATAGAGGAGGGTGATAAGAGGGATTAGAAAATCTTAGCCAAAACCATCCAGTGCCATGAAGCCAACTGAACTATTGCTGAGTACTATTCCTTACTAGTAGGATTCTCAAAATAAAGGATCTGTGGCTTTAAGACCCTTTGTGGCGTGTCCCGCCCTGGCTTGTTTCTAAGAATCTGGATCAAAGGATTTTAGGGGCCAAAGTCCTTCCACCTCTAGGTCTTATTTTGTGGTTCAGCTTCACTGGGCTCTGCTCAGCTATTGTGAGCTGTACAAAGGAGACCTTCAGTGAGGCAGTAAGGGTCAAGGGCAGAACAGAATGTCAGCATACCCCTAAACTCACATTCTGGATCAGTCATCTAAAAAAAGGAAAGATATATTCACTGCCTTATAAATTTCTTTAAGTGTCAAAGCAATACAAATGAGGAGTAATAGCAGCAATAAATCTGGCCAACAGGGTACAGAGTCAGGTAAGTCTCCTTAGTCTTGTATGCCAAACCTCAGCAAGTTCCCCAGTCACTCCAGATTCAGCCAACAAACAAAACTATTGCTTCTGTTCCCTCTCTCTGCAGAATTCTAAAGCAGTTTCCACTGAGCATTCTTGCAATCTGCAATCTTGACTAGCTGACATATCCTCACTTAGATATGAAGTATAATTTTGTTGTAACAAAATCTGATACCATTCCCCACATCTGGGGAGAAAAGAGTGTCACTTGCCACTGGTCCATGCATGCATCTCTAACCTTTGAAGGATTGCTGCATGCCCCTGCATTGTAGTGTGTTCTATGGTTGCCTGGAATTCAGGTGAGAGATGAGACAGATGATATGAGATACCCAGAGTGAGAACCAGAGAGGGAAACTGAGAAAAAAAAAAAAGAAAAAGAAAGGGAAACGGAAATAGTAAATAATAAGATAATATATGACATTTTAACTTGGTTTGAGGGATTAGAAAGGTGAAATTTGGTAAAAGAGAAAAAAAAAAAGAAAGTGAAGGGAGCCTCCCTGGTGGCGCAAGGGGTTAAGATGCAACCTATGAAGCTCGCGGCAAGCAGCCACTGCAGCATGAGTTTGATCCCAGGTCAGGGAGCTACCCACCTGGAGCGGCAGACCTCTCCTGTCTCACCTGCTGCTCCCCTCAGCAGTGTATTTCAGTAGATCTGCCTGTTCTGCTCCCCACTCTGTCTGGTGAATCCTCTCACCCCCCACACCTCTGGTCTGTACCCCAGTTCTTGTATGTATAAATAAATCTTTTAAAAAAAAAAAAGAAACTGATTATGTTATCAAAGGACACTTACATAGAGAGTAAATTTCAAATGTGAAACTCATCACTGTGGATTAAACTCTCCCTCCACTGATCTTTAAATCAAGCAGTTCTCCTGAGAAAAGGGATCACCTCATTGGGTTCATTCTAGAAGATTCAACAAGTTCTTTCAGTGGCTTCAGAATTTATCTCAGTGCCTGGATTAATATCCTGTGGCACCTTCTCATACTCCAAATGAAAACCCCAGACAAAGCCGTGGCTGATGTTTCAAGATCCTGATTTCATTATACCTCCTTTCAGTTTGGTACTAGCTCATTGATAAGATGTAATGAATAACTGATTTGTTCTCTTCACAAGAGAATATGAGTCACATTCTACTGGAAATGACCTGGAAAGGAAAAGCAGGCAATAGTGAGAAAAATGGAGGATTTTTTTTAAATAGCAGAACAACCCCAAATCATAGATTGTAATAGAATACAAGAGGGCTGAAACAGAGGTGAGAATAGATCCAAAAAGGTATATTCCCACAGGAGTAATTCCAAAGAGAATTCTGAAAGCCCAGAGAAAGTTTTGATAAAATATCCATATAACATATTCTTCAAGACCTTTAAAGTCATCATTATCTATGTCTTCTGATGTGGTCCTGGGTAAGTCAGAGATATTATCCTCTGCACTTCCTCTTCACCTTCAACAATGAAAGTCTGAGTCATTTGCCAAAGGTTATTATAAATATTAGGAAGAGAAGGATTGGAGCATAAATTTCTTAGTCCGCACACATAGAATCTTACTTCTTTTTACGACAAAGAAAGGCGGTAACTTCTTCCCAAGTTGGAAAAA